CGGTCATAGTGAATGCGGGGTCCGGGGAGAGCGGATATAGTGAATGCGGGGTCCGGGGAGAGCGGATATAGTGAATGCGGGGTCCGGGGAGAGCGGATATAGTGAATGCGGGGTCCGGGGAGAGCGGATATAGTGAATGCGGGGTCCGGGGGGAGAGCAGATATAGTGAATGCGGGGTCCGGGGGAGAGCGTATATAGTGAATGCGGGGTCCGGGGGAGAGCAGATATAGTGAATGCGGGGTCCGGGGTTTAGTAACACTAAGATAAAGAAAGAGTACCTTGTCCAGGGGTGGGGGAGGGGACTGTGGGGAATGAATACTTTGATGTCTGGAGTTCTGATTAAAGGATCCTAGAAGGGCCACACTGGGCATCTGTTATCTCATGTCTATGGAGAGTTTTGTATGTCATTCTGGCTGACGGTAGATTTTTCCATTGGCCCCCATGTATGCCCATACAAACACACTGTCCCTGTTCGTTGCTCTCGGGGGTTGCGTTGGCCGGACTACAATGCTGGCAGAGGGAAGCGCAGGGCGTTTGCTTCACATTACAGCTTTTCATTTTTCACCAAACTGCTCAAAATTAAGAATTTCTACAAAACGTAAAACAAAAAAATTGGCGAGACGGAGGTCTGAGCTCAGATAACTAAGAAATATCAGCTGCATATCTCACCATGACAGGTCTGCCTCCCCCATCGAACCCACATGAACATCTCCAGCATTCAGCAAAGACCGAACGTTAAGGTGGTTGTAAACCCTTCCCTATCACCTGACCGGCCTCAGGTGATACACAGAGATGAAACAAATCCTTCTACATAAGTTGTACCTCTTTATCTGTAGCATTCTCTTCTGTCCAGAATTGTTTGAGAGTTCAGGAAAAAAAAGGGGGGGGGGGGGGGGCGGAGAACTGAAGTTACACCCTGCTGAGCTCAGTCAGAAGAGCCCTGGAAGCTGATTGGAGTGAGGAGATACACCCGCCCTTCACACAGCTCACAGGAACAGAGCTGAGGCTGTCAATCACAGACTGTGCCCGCCCCTGTCACCATTTTGCTCTTGGTGTCAGGAAAGCTTGTCAGAAGTGATAGCAGAATAAAGAGGCAGCAAGATAGAAATGACACTTAGTGCTCTGGACTGAGACAAGTACACACTACAGAGGGATGTGCTTTGTTCATATTTCACGTCGGAGGTTTACACCCACTTTAAAGTAGAACTAAAAAAGCAACCCCCCCCCCCCTTTTTAGATCGAGTATGGAAGGTTTATCGAGGTCATGGGCAGTAATTACAGCACTAAGCCCTGGTTCACACTGGTGCGGTGCGGAATTCGCAGCGTTTGCGGTGTGGAATTCGCAGCGTTTTCAGTGCGAATTCCGCACTGCATCAGAATCGCACCCCATTCCTGCGAACCGCTGCGGGTGTGTATGTAAAGTTAACACCCCGAAAGCACGGTGCGATGTACAGAATCGGATCGCATAGGTGTGAATACCCATGAGGCATTGCAAGATTGACAGTTACAAGCATGACTCACAAAGGCAGAAGCATGATGGGACTTGTAGTTTGGCAACAGCTGGAGGGCCGCCAGTTTGACACCCCTGGGTTACGGTGATGGATTAGGTGGGTTACGGTGATGGATTGGGGTGGGGGTGATGGATTAGGTGGGTTGGGGTGATGGATTAGGGTGGGTTAGGGTGATGGATTAGATGGGATGGATTAGGTGGGTTAGGGTGGGATTAGGTGGGTTAGGGTGATGGATTAGGTGGGTTAGGATTAGGTAGGTGAAGGATTAGGTGGGTGATGGATTAGGTGGGTTAGGGTGATGGATTAGGTGGGTTAGGGTGATGGTTAGGGGTGATGGATTAGGGTGGGTTAGGGTGATGGATTGGGTGTGGATTAGGGGGTGATGGATTAGGGTGGGTTGGGGGTGATGGATTATGGGTGGGTTGGGGTGATGGATTAGGTGGGTTGGGGGTGATGAGGGTGATGGATTGGGGTGGATTAGGGTGATGGATTAGGGTGGGTTAGGGTGGATGGATTAGGTGGGTTGGGGTGATGGATTAGGTGGGTTAGTGATGGGATTAGGGTGGGAGGGTGATGGATTATGATGGGGTGGGTTGGGGTGGATTAGGTGGGTTGGGGTGATGGATTAGGGTGGGGTGATGGATTAGGGTGATTAGGTGGGTGGGGTGATGGATTTGGGGGGTGATGGATGGATTAGGGTGGGTTGGGGTGATGGGATTATGGGCATGATGGGACTTTTTCGCAACAGCCGGAGGTCCGCCGGTTTGACACCCCTGGGTTAGGGTCTCTGCTTTTAAAAAAAAATATATAAGGTTTGGGGGTTGTAACAATTTTTACATCACAAAATACAGGTCTTCAGGTGGATATATTACATTGTATACATACAGGATACATTCTATATTGTCTCCTTCTATCCTCGCAGGGGACAGCAATGTAAATAAATGTGGAAATGAAATCAAAATAAAATAAAAACCAATTAAAAAGAAAAGAAAAACATTAGCTCAGTCAAGGTTTGATCTATGTCCGTGTAGGCTTAGTGTTGGGTCAAAATGTCAGTATATTTGGGGGGGTAGGATTATTTTTTTTTTAAATATTTTTAAATTGGTATCAGTGCTAGTTTGTGTGTTTTAAACATAAAAAAAAAAAGGAAAATGCATTTTTTTCTGGGCCGTACTGTGGGTACAAAAAAACTAACAAACATATGTACTATCGCTGCAACTGTCAGGAGCATAAGAATTTATTTTGGGTTGTTCTATGGTGGTAAGTTATCATAATAGCAAGAAATATACAACTAAAACTTAATTTTTCTTCACTATTTTAGGCCAGTTTTCCTTAGATAAAAAAGTATTATTAATATTATTATTATTATTATTATTATTATTAATAATAATCAGAAGATATCCATTATCAATTAAAATACACAAAAAAAAAAAAAAAAAAAAAAAAAAACATACACACACAAAAAAAACAAACAAAAAAAAAAAAAAAAAACAAAACAAAAAACATACACAAAAAAAAACCATACACACTGACCATTAAGGTTTGTTTTACCCTCCATCCTGAAGGGGTTAAAGAAGGACATAATTATTGATATGAGCTTTCTCATTGGAACACCCAAGTGCAAAATCCAGATCAGAAAAATGGTGGGAAAAAAAATGCCTTTCACCACCATAAAATGCATTTTAAAAAATAAAGACAGATTATTAATAATAAACACTGCAATAAAACAAAAATAGAAAAAAAAAAAAAAGAAAAAAAGAAAAAAAGAAGCAACTCCCTTTTACCCTTGTTACGTAGATGATTAATTCCACTGCCAGGACAATTAAACGTTTCCGCCTCTGGATGAGTAATAAATTGGCCGGTACATATCTCTGTGCAGCTATTATAGAGAAGGAACCCCGCGCTGCATTAAGCAAAGAGATTAAGTCACAGGATACAATGTGTTTAGTAAATGTTCTATTCAGTGCGGGAGGCAGAAGGGGCCCATTAATAAAAGGGGCCGTGTACAGATCTCTGTTTGCAGCGTTTCATTTAACTCATTCATTCTCATTTCCTGAGACATTAAATCCTCCCTCCGGCTTAAAAAATATAAAGGGGCGCTCCACTGATTGACCTCCAATGAATTCATTTTAGCAGAGGTTCCCCAATACCTTCCTTTTTTTTCTTTTTTAAAGGCCTCCAATGAATTTTAGCAGCGGTTTCCCCATTACCAATTTTTTTTTTTTTCAAAGGCCTCCAATGAATTAATTTTAGTAGGGGTTCCCCAATACATAATTTTTATTTTTTAAAAGGCCTCCAAAGAATTCATTTTAGCAGGGGATCCAAAGAATTCATTTTAGCAGGGGTTCCAAAGAATTCATTTTAGCAGGGGTTCCCCAATACCTAATTATTATTTTTTTTTTTAAAGGCCTTCAATGAATTCATTTTAGTAGGGGTTCCCCAAATACCTAATTTTTTTTAAAGGTCTCCAATTAATTCATTTTAGCAGGGGGTTCCCCAATACCTAATTATTATTATTTTTTTTTTAAAGGCCTTCAATGAATTCATTTTAGCAGGGGTTCCCCAAATACCTAATTATTATTATTTTTTTTTTAAAGGCCTTCAATGAATTCATTTTAGTAGGGGTTCCCCAAATACCTAATTTTTTTTAAAGGTCTCCAATTAATTCATTTTAGCAGGGGGTTCCCCAATACCTAATTATTATTTTTTTTTTAAAGGCCTTCAATGAATTCATTTTAGCAGGGTTCCCCAATACCTAATTTTTTTTCTTTTTTTTAAAGGCCTCCAAAGAATTCATTTTAGCAGGGGTTCCCCAAATACCTAATTTTTTTTTAAAGGTCTCCAATTCATTCATTTAGCAGGGGGTTCCCCAATACCTAATTTTTTTTTTTCTTTTTTTTTTTAAAGGCCTCCAATGAATTAAAATAAACTAAGCCAAATCATAGTGAATTCCCAGAGTACAGATAACGAAGTAATGGGGGTTATTTACTGAAACTGGAGGGTGCAAAATCTGGTGCAGCTCTCAATAGAAACCAATCAGCTTCCAGTATTTTTTTTTTTGTCAAAGCTTAAAGTGTTACTAAACCCACAACAGTACAATCAGTCTGTAGATGCAGCAAAGCGTGCTTGTTATACTGTGGAACCTAAGGGGTTAAATAGGCTGTTTGATCCTGTCATCTCTGATCCTCCCCTTCTTACACAGTACCCAATCTATCTGCTCATAGTACAGAGCTCTATGAGACACTCTCCACATGCTCAGTTTGGTGTGTATTGCTAGAGAGGGTTTTTTTTTTCCCTTGGGAGAGTGCATGTGATCAGCAAAGGTCCAATCAGCGCTGTCCAGAGGGTCAGGGGTCATGCTGCCTCAAATGACAGTCCGAGGAGTAATAAAAAAAATTCCCCCTACAAGATTAACCAGTGCTCTGCTGGACACTGATAGAAGTCACAAGACTGCTATATAATGCTGATGAGAAAAGGTATTTAGAAGTTTATATTTACCAAAATTATTATTACTACTACAGGATGTATATAGTACCATTCACAGCTCTCACAGTATATTTCTCAATGGCTGCAAGAATGCAGCCAGAGAGAAGGAGAAATGATTGATTTTATAGCCTTTATGGGAGTAAAAGCAATTAGTGTAAAAAAATAAAAAAAAAAATCTTCATCACCCCCCCACATGTATTACAGTGTCACTATGTACTGCTATGGTGACAGTATGTTGAAAAAAAAAAAAACAAAAAAAAAACTAATAATAATATAAAAAAATTAAATAAAAATGTAAAAAAAAATTTTTTTTTGAA